GGCAGGTAGCTAAGCTCAAGCCAGTGCTGTCTAGACCCGACCTTGAGACACTAGTCCATGCATTCATCACAACCCGCCTGGACTATTGTAATTCACTGTATGCTGGGGTCAGCCAGGCCTCTATCTCACGGCTACAGCTCGTCCAGAATGCTGCAGCTCGGCTCTTAACCGGTACACCGAGGTATGAGCACATCACACCAGTTCTGTCCTCCCTACACTGGCTTCTTGTGAGAACTAGGATTGATTTCAAAATTCTCCTCCTGACCTATAAGTGCCTAAATGGCCTTGCACCCATCTACCTCTCTGAGCTACTGGAACCATATGTTCCCTCTCGGGCTCTGAGATAATCCGATCAGCTGCTTTTGGTTGTTCCAAAAACACGACTGAAGCTCCGAGGAGATTGGGCGTTTTCAGTCATGGGTCCCAAACTGTGGAACAACCTACCCCCAACATTAGGCATGCCACCTCCCTTCCTGTGTTCAAAACCCTGCTAAAAACATATCTGTTCTCTCTGGCGTTTCATACTGTGTGAGTTGATTTAGTATATCTTGTTCCATGTCTTCATTTTAATGCTGTTGTTTTAATTTTTTATGGTATATTCTTACTGCTTTTTATTTCTCAGTGTTACCCTTAGTGTTAAGCACTTTGATAACAGTCTATCTGTTTTAAATTGTGCTCTATAAATAAATATGACTTGACTGCGCTTTACATAGCTGAAATGCTAAGAGTCGGCTTGCTCCATTTCCAAATTCATAGTATTTTTGATTAGTGAAACGTAGCTGGCCCTTGACTCTATAAGTTAACAAATCATTCAATTTCTGTCTATTTTCCTTCAGTATATTAAGTGTTACAACTTTTTGAAATAGTCGATACTCTGTCTCCAATTCTTGTATCTTATTTTCAAATTCTGTTTGTTCTGAGATTCTATTCTTTTGTAATCTTGATGAAAGTGCAATTATATTACCCCTCAGCACAGCTTTAGCTCCCTCCCACAGGATAGAAGGTGTTACATCGTCTTTGTCATTAAATGCAATATTAGTCAGTCAAACCCTGTCTTATTTCCTGTTGATTTGCTTCATTATTTAAAAGAGATACATTGGCTCTTGTTTGTTTGGCCCTATCATAATTTTTAATAACACTGGGGCATGATTTGATATGGTTATAGCTTCAATGTTACACTGAGTAGCTCTAGAATAGTCTGTTCCTGAAATCATAAACATGTCAATCCTAGAGTGACGGCAGTGTACTTGTGAAAAAAAAAAAGTGAAGTCCCTCTCTTTTGAATGTAGATGATGCCAAATGTCTACTAGACCTAGCTCCATCATCGCAGTGAGTGTCTTAGCTTTCTTACACAAAGGCCCCATGTCTACTGGGTGTCTATCTACAAACCCTCTCAAAACACAATTAAAATCTCCACCTATCAAAATGAGAACCTCTGAATGTTCTGCTATCATAGAGGCAATGTTTTTAAAAAAAAGTCAGGGCAGTCCTCATTTGGTGCATACAAATTGAGCCAAGTAATTTTAGTATCACCTATGCACCCAATCAGCATCCCATATCTCCCCTCCATATCCAAAAATGTTTTTTCATGACTAAAATAAACTGACTTTAACAGAATTGAAACTCCCCTTTTTCTCCTATTTCTTGAGGATGAACTATACTGTTGGTCAACCCAACCTCTTCTCAGCTTCATATGCTCCGCATCAGAAAGATGCATCTCATGTAATAACTATTGCACAATTTGATTTTTTTTAAATTGGTTAACTTTTTTTCTCGATTGGGCTGCACAAGCCTTTGACATTATAAGTAACACAAATTAAACTATCCATGCAATTTTTTCTTGCTCTTATTTGTCTTAACCCTGGTCAAATATACATTAATAGAATACAAAATTGTAATATTCTTAATCGAGTGGCCCCTAGTTAGTCTCAAGATAAAATGAAATAATATAATTGAACACAAATAAACAAATCAAACTAAACTTCCACATGCCCAACTGGATTAGTTAGTCAAGATTGTTTTTCCAAACATGACTCAAAACCAGTACCCGTTGATTCCTGGGCGGAGGGTGGGGACAGGTCCTCCGTGGGAAAAACAGTGTTGGCGCTGCGGACGTCCCTCTCGTGGAGCGGTGCACTGCGGCTGGAAAGGTGCGCTCGTTAACCGGTCCGTCCAATATGAAAGTGAAAGTAAACAAACAAGCAAAAAAATCCTTGTCGTTTCCCTCCTAACGTATAATGTCTAACAGAATGATATGGACTCGGCATAAGTTGAATTCAGTGGTCCGCACACAGGAAAGCCTTGACCTCTGCATAGGACAGCTTCTCCGGATCCTTGTGCCGTCTTCCTCTTGCCACGCTCCAGCGGTGTCGGGACATTTCAGCTTCTATCTGCTCCCTCTCATCTATCTGCACGCCCAGCTCCTGAAGTGCAGGTAAAGCCTCTACAATAGTCGTATAGATGTTCTCCTTGCCATCCATAATCATTTTAAGCTGCTCTGGATACAAGCATTTTGCTTTTATGTTTTTCATTTTTAATCGTTTGATTGCGGCTCGCACAGATGCTCGCTTTTTCTGAAGCTCCGGGGAGTAATCATGGTCCAAGAAAATCTGCTTTCCTTCATACAGAACTTTCTTCTGTGCCCACGCCTGTTGCAGAACACTTTCTTTGACAGTAAAGTCCATGAACTTGACAACCAGCGAGCGTGGGGCTGCGGTCAGGTTCTTGGGCTTTGCAGTGAGCGCTCGGTGTACCCGTTCAATGTTGACGTTGAGTTCAGCTGGGAGCTGGAGAGCGCCCTGGAGCAGCTCCTTTACAAATGTCTTCACGTCTCGACCTTCGGATCCTTCGGGAACTCCATAAATTCTTAAATTGTTTCTCCTCAATCTATTTTGCATATCGTCGCATTTGGCAGTCAGGGCCAACTCTCTATGGAGCAGATATCGTAGTGCCCTCTCATGGCGGCTCACGGTGTCCTCGTTAGCACTGATAAGGTCCTCCGCGTCTCTGGCCCTGTTTTCTAATTTAGTTATTTAATCACCCAGCTCTTTAAAAGATGTTTCCAATCTTGTCAAAGAGAGTTTGGTTTGAGTATGTCCCTCTAGGTTCTCTCTTCTTAGTTTCTCCAGTTCGGCCATTATCTTAGACTCAGAGTCAGGTGCGGTTGCACCTGCTGCTCCACCCGATGTAGCTTTTAGAGTTAGCCATTTCAAATGTTCGCCTTTGTCCTTCATTTGGTCCTGTTTGTTGGGATCTTTGCTTCTTACAGACGATGCCATATTGTTTTTGTCAAAAATTGCAGAGTTTTGTATTAGTTTTGTTAGGGAATCACTTTAAACGGATGGAGCCGGTCTTCTATGCTGCTACCCGTAACACGACGTCACCGGAATTTGGAGTTGCAAAATTCTATGGAGGCATTGGTGTGTATATATACACGCCAATGCCTCCATAGAAGTATATATACACGCCAATGCCTCCATAGAATTCTCTATCTATCTATCTATCTAGATCTCTCATATTATATATATATATATATATATATATATATATATATATATATAGTATTTTAATTGTATGAGTATGTGAACATTAAAACTTATTATTTGGTCAGGATCTAAAATCCATCTCGGACAAACAGATGCAGACAAAACGCTAAATCACCACTGGTGCCGACAGCTGCTATGAGCTTTGTGTGTTGATGCGTTTTTTTTTTTTTTTCAAAATACAAAAATCAGTAACAGTTATTTCCACAAGGTAATTGCTGATAAATAACTGTTAATCTATGTGGAGGACTGTGTCCATCATTTGATCATCTCTGGCTGCACCAGTGTATCCTGCTGGGTCCACAGGACTGGACGCCACATGCTTTGAAGCTGAACTTGATAATAGTATTCATGGTTCTTCTTGAAATGTAATGAGCAGCACCTATTCACTTTTTCCAACATCATGTAATAAAATGTATAAAATAAAAAACAAAATAAAAACACGCACAGAGGCAAATCCGACCGCTTTCAATGCGCTTCTTGTAGATTTCTCAGTAAAACGAGTCCATATCTGTCACGGTTGTAACTTTTCATTTTAATCAACAGCTCCTAGTAATAAATAAATAAATATAAAACCTCAAATAAGCAACAAATAAATCTGGTCTTGTGTGGGGGGTTTCTTACAGTTTCATGTTTTTTTTAATTTTTTTGTGTGATTTTTTTTTTTTGTTTAAACCACCGAGTGAAAAATGTCTTTAATACAACTTGTCATTAGGGCTGAGTACTGAACAGAGGTTCTTAAATGGCACCCACTGAACTGCACTGGTCGGTATATGGATTGAAACGTCACTCTTTCTTCAGTGTCAAGTTTCAGTATTGGCTGTAACGTGTCACGTGTGGTTTCAGCACACAGGCAGGTAAAACACAGACATATGACAAACAGACTACGTGTTTACACCCAGAGCTGTATAGAGCTGCCGCACCTAATCCATGTATAATGTATGTATATGGTGCTGGTGGCGCCCACAGACGGGGTTCACGTGTGCAGCGTGTTGTCGAACGGCTTTGACAACACATGAGCAGAAAGTTGCTCTGTGTTTCTCTGCAAGAAAACAGACGGACAGCAGCCTCCTCCCCTCCTCCTCTCAGCGTTAGTCAGTCTGTGTGTGTTAAACGGACTCAATCAACATTCCACAGCCGGACTCCTCTTCATCAAAGAACTCCCGAGGACGGAGCTGTGTCTGTGTTTCAGCTGGTGAGTTTACGTTTGTTAACGTTACTACAGCTTAACACGTACATCGCAGTGAATTTAACTAGAATCCATGTAACGCTAACTTTAAGATATTAGTGTGTAATTTTATTTTATCTACGTAGCTAGCTAAACTCAGAAGCTAACTAAAGATTGATAGTAACAGATTAAGCTTGGCTTGTAAAACTGCTCATCCATCCAGTCAGCTGCTTAAACAGTTCACCTGATGTTTACCGTTTGATAATGTTCTCATCACAGGAGCCTCTGACCCAGCTGTGACGAAAGAGACATAAGAAAAGCAAGGTGGGGCCACAGGACCATCACAGACTTTGTTGTTAAGTTTGCTGTCTTTTCTACAGTAGAGCTGCACGGTGGAGGTAAATTAAGCTGTAAAGGATTTTGTTAACCCGTTAAACCTGTATCTCTTGTGGCTTGTTTGTGTCCACAGAAGACAGACATGTTGTTTCTGAAGAAAAACTGTTCAGTGAAAAAGGTTCTCAGTGTGTAGCAGTGACCATTAGACACTGACGTGTCACTGGTTGTTTGCAACTGTTCTTTTGAACTGAAAATTATTTGTTTATTTTAATGTAAGAAAACTGCTTGGAATAGAAATACCAAAGTTAAAAAATAAAATTCACAATATGTACTGTAATGTGTAACGTAATTTTATTCTTGTTAGAATTAATATTAATTACAAAATTGGTACCGAAAAAGAACCGTCCAGGAACCGACACCGAAGTGAAGGAACCAACATCGGTACCGATACAGATTTTTTTAGAAAGGTACCCAGCCCTACTTGTCATGTTCACTTTAGCCTGACAAATATCAGTCAGCCACCAAGACATAGAGTTTATTTATAGTTTTTAATACCAAGAAATCTATCAGAAGAGCTGTGAAGATGGACACCTCTGTGCGCCCTCTCGATAAAGGGGAACAGAATTTCGCACAAGACACCGGCTCTTTCTGCACTACGGCTGCGCGCGCATCCACCATGTTGATAAACAAATAATCCGTCTATAATAGAGAGCAACAAACTCCGAATTTCACCAAAATGTTCACATGCATTATAAAATGCCAATTAGTAAAAACTTATCTAAGGAAGCAACCTCATTATGATCAGGTAATCAATACATTTGATCAGAACTGTCTGGTAACAGCAGTGCGTATGGACTTTTAACCTTTATTTTTATTTACAATCTGTCATGTGTTGTTCACCTGGACATGAATTAAGGAGCAGATGATTTTAAATATTTTAACTCATAATACCTTCAAATCCAAAAGAGGGTGGAGAAATTAACTTTTATTATGACTGTAGATGGAAAATCAAACATAACTTGCCATTTTCCTTGGTCAGGTCAAAGACAAACAAGAAAATAGTTCACAGATGAGATTATGGAGGCATCATGATCCAGACAAACTTGTTGTTAAATATAAATTAGGCCTCTAAAGAATAATAATAATAATAATAATAATAATAATAATAATAACAAATACTTGCTGATTAAACGGACAGTTTCAGAACTATCAGAAAAGACAAATCCCATGAAATTACAAAAGTGTGGTACTTTAATTCTAAACTAAGATACTGGACCTGTAGACTTTTTTTTTTTCTTACAAAACAAAAAGGTAGGAAAAGTTAAACATCATTGGTTTATTTTAGAACTCCGATAAATTATGGGAAAAGAGCAAAATGATGAAAACTCGTCATTTGGAACAACAACATTTTAAACTAATAAGACTTGTAGAAGGTGAAAGAGCTTAATTTGGTTAAATACGACTTAAAACAATTCTTTATATTTAATAGTTAAAGCCATAGTAGCTGTCAAAATACACAATACACCAATGTTCTTGATTTTAAAATTTACGCTTGAATCATTGAAAAAAATCACTGAATGTTTTTTGGGGGATTATTGCAACCAAAACTCATCAGGGATTTTGCAAAAATTGTGTTGAAAACACCAAAAAAATTATTTGTTTAAAACTAAACTCGGTGATCTGTTAAAATCAGTTCTGATCAGTTACGACTGATAGTAGTCAGTTACAACAAAAGTTTTTCAGACTAAGACAAGACATGAAGTGAGTCCAGTACCTGTTGGATCCAACAAAACCATGATACTACAATCTCACCTGACATACATCCCAACAGCGTATGCACAGAGGAAGGAGTAGTCCATGGCTCCCAGCAGCTGTTTGTAGTTGTTTTTATCTGAAAGTAGGAAAGTGTTTAATCAGAGTTTGAATTATGTTTACCAGTAGTCATTTCTGATTGACCAGTTCTACTTCCTTTGGGTCCACCACATGCAGGAAGGGCCATATGAGTCAGGTCCATGCAAGGCCGGATTAACCATACGGGCAACTGGGCAACTGCCCAGGGGCCCACGATCTCTAAGGGGCCCAGAGCAGTGAGGGCAAAAGCAAAGTATCTGGTCATCACCTGGAGCCCTGTGCTGCTGAGAGAGACGGCCGCGCTGCCGCTGCATTTCGGCCGCCCCGCCTCCTCCCAGCGCCGCTGCTACAGCTCTCGTTTTTTTTTTTTTTTTTTTTAACCAAGTCGGATCCTGCATGGCACAACCTGTCAATCAATTCAGCAGGCGTGTCAGCAACTGACCAATCGACGACCTCAATTTGTCCCGAACGCCCCTTACCTGCTGACAAGCCCGTCAGGTTTTTGTTTTTTCCTAGAATTTTAACAACACAAAACAGAACAATGCAACAATATACAAATACAAACTCGTGAAGGCTGTCGTAACTACATTTCACAAAATAATGAAAGAGAAAAAAAAAAACATAAAAAATTAATAAATAAAAAACAAAGGAGCGTGACATATGAAGAACATTGTTTTAATTAAAACAATAAGTTTTATCTGTTGTGAGATGATTCTAGCAGTTTTGAAGTTTTTAAATCTACTTAATGAAGAATATTATGACTTAAAATGGTTCATAAAACTTGAAGGAAGGCTTATTATCCCTCCTCTTACTACAGTGAATGTGGTACTAAAAGTATGACTATATTTATAGCATCAGAGAAAGCTGAGCTTAAGTTGTGTAAGGATGTTAGTTTTCTGTGGCCCGGTGTGTCTGTTTCCCTCGTGCTCCTCATTAGTTTCCATTGTTGCCACCTGTGTCTCGTCCCAGCTGTTTGCTATCATGTCTCGTCTTCTCCTTGTATTTAAGTCACCCTATTCTGTCTTGTCCTTTGTCGGGTCGTCTTCGTTGGGTACGCTTCTTTGAGTCTCCTGAGTCTCTCCTTTTTCCTGGTTCCTCGAGTTCCTCGTGTCTCCTGAGTTCCCCGTGCCTCCCTCCTTGTTTATGTAAGTTTTGCTGCCCCGTCAGCATATTTATTTTGAACTTTTTATTCATCATTAAAAACCTATTTTTGTATATCTGCCGAGTTGAGTCCCTGTTCTGCACTCTGGGTTCGCTCCGACCACAAATCCTAACAAGTTGTCCACATAAAGTAAAATGGCATCAGCATGAAAAGGAGGAATGTTAAGTTTGAGATTAATCCAGTTTCTGATGTCTGACCAAAAACTTTGTATTGACATGGAAAAATAAAATAAAAAATGCTCAATGGATTTATCTTCTGATTTACAAAAGGCACAAATCAACCTCAAATTTAAATCTTATTTCAAGAAACATGGCTACAGGATATATCTTGTTTATTATTTTAAATGATTCTCCTTCACTTTAGGGGATTTCAGCCATTTGACAAATTTAAAATGAGCAGAAGTCATTCTGGTTTTATGATTTATACTGGGAGGTTTCTTGAAGGAAACTTTGTCACAAACATTCATTGATCATCTTATTGCATTTGAAGTCAACTAAGTTACAGTCATTTTAATTTAATGTGGGCATCAAATCGTCACCTTTGAATATATAATATTTTTAATTCATTGAATCAGCTGTTGGTCAGGTTACTTCTTGTTGTGCCATTAACTCTAAAATAGTTATTGAATCAAGTTTACTTATGTAGGTAAAACTAGATGTTTAATAACCATTAAAATACACCAGAATGCAGAACCCCAGACACCCCCCCATTACAAATGCTTCTGACACCAGCGGCCAACACGTTGCTAAACAAGTACACATGGTGTCGTGTGGTGTTCAAAGTGCGTTCAACTTAACTCAGTCTTTATGATTTGTGTCAACAAGACAACATAGCATTTATAGTTCTACGATCATATGGATTCTTAAACATCAAAATACACTTGATAGTTAGAATTTTAAGTATATTTACTGTATATTATGGTAATTTATTCTGTATTTTGACAGATTATGGTGATTCTGGGGTCGTGATGATGGGGCCCTTGAAGATTGTTGCCCAGGGTACAGTGAAGTGTTAATCTGGCCCTGGGTCCATGATGCCATGGGCAGCAGCAGAAAGAGGGGGTTTTGGGACTCTGAACCTGGCTTACCAAAACTGGCTCTTCAAACACAGATTGCAAACTCTCTGGTGGGAAAAGAGCTTGTGCTTGTGCGCAAGGTTGAAAGGTACCAATTACTGTAGATACAGTGTAGTCTGACTCAACTCAACACATGGCATGGGCTCTGGAACCAATCTCCTTGAGAGGAGCTGGACCATGTTCAACTCTAGAGTTGTTCATGGTGAGAGGCACCGGCCTGGTGTGGGTCTACTTATACCCCCCTGGCTTGGTTTCTGATCCAGCTGTTTTTCTGTCAGTTTTTTACATTCTTACCTTTTCATTAATCCAACCTGTTGTTCTTTATGAACATCAGAGCAGATCAGAACACAAATCACATCGGATCAGAACATTATTTATCATCAGAAGTACAGCACAGGTCGAACAACTGCTGCTGAACCCGTTATCTATTAGTGGAGGTTTAGGCTTTGTCAAGCATTGCTACAGAAACAAAGCCCAGCTTTACTAAAATTACTTTGTTGTACAGTCCATCAGTTCTGGTTATGTAAACGTTGCTCCTAAACATCCTTTAGTCAGTGTTTGAACAAATGTCTGTGTAACATGGAAAATGCCAAAACAGAACAATATGTTAATTTGAACTGAAACCTCAAACTATAAACCTGGCGCACATTCGTTCAACCTTTATTTATACAGGTTAGTCTCATTGAGCCTCAAGGACTTGTTTACAAGAGAGACCTGTTTTTAACCAAGAATGATGACAAACAAAGAATGATGACACATCACTGACATGCACATGAAGATTTGACACACAAATAATGGAACAGATACCAACCAAAAGGTTTCCAGCTGCAGTCCAAGTTGGAGTGAAGTGATGGTTGGTGGGGCTCCAGGGTCCCCATGCTGCCTGATCCAACAGTGTAGGCTTCACCGGCTGATGAGCAGTTCTTATGAAGCTCGCTCTGTCACAGAAAAGTACCCAAAGTTACTCTGGTATGCGACAGAACAAGATTCAGTGTAAACCTAAACTCTGGATCCAAATAAGGTCTCCCTGATTTATCATCACATTCAGCGTAAACGCATCCGTTTGATTTTTTTATCTCCACCAAAGGTAAACCATCCCTCATTTTATCAGTTTCATAACTGCACAAAGCAGTGTGGCTCAAAGTTCCACCAAGTTTACAACCTGGATGGAGTGTGATTCACAGTTATGGTAAAATGAGGACAAAGGATTTACAAAACATGGAAAAATGACACGGTAAATGCTTTTCATGTCCCTACAGTATTTCTAACCTATGATACCTTGACGATGCTGATGGGTTTTCTGGACAGGTGGAAGCTGGTGTAGAGCAGGAAGGTGATGGCAAATGTCAGAGCTCTGTACCTGCAGAATGAACAACATTTTGTCAATGCTGTGAGCGGAAACTAATAAATAAAATGTATGAGGAAACTTTCTGTTAGTTTCAGACAGAAAAGGTTGATCTTTGGGTATCACTAAAGACTGCATTAGAAAGAAACCCTCGTGCAGTGAAAACAAAAAGCTATTTTAAAGTGTTTAGGAGTTCGTATACACATTTTACTATTCAGAGTTCCAGGGGCCTCATGAACAAAGGGTGCATACACAAAAGAGGCGTTAAGACTTTTTTTTTTTAATGCAAAACTTGAGGTATCAAGAATGAAATGACCATAGAAATGTGTGCAGCCCCAAACCAACTTCATGGCTGGCGTATGCACGTTTCTATGGTTATAGGCTCACTTAATGGCGACACTTTGAGGTGATATTGGGAAACTGTTGATGTTGATAAAAAATATTTTGTCTAGACTGTGGCCCTGGGTTTTGAGCTGCTCAGAGACGTATTGTAATAAGATTATGACCCGGATCTGACTGGTTCAAACAGGGCCAGAAACTCTAAAATAATAGTCTCCCAGGGATTCAATATCCATCAAGGAATACATTTTTTTTTTTTTATTTGTCATTTCTTTATTGGCTCGCTACAACATGCAGAGAGGCTTTTTCACACTCTTGTCATTTTTTTCCTGACACATCAGCTCACATAAGATCTAATGAGATCCCACTTAGTCCGCCCCTCTTATTCACTTGATAGGCTGCACTCCTGGAAGAAGGCAGAGCCTAGGCCCAATACAGTTGTAAGGCAATGTGTCATCCACCCCTTCCGGTCCTTGAGCGAGCGTTGAATATCTGAGAGGCCAGCGCTGTAAACTGTAACCTTTTCCTGCCTTGATTTAATACAACTGGTAAACTGAATTCACATTTCCTTGATTTACGGTACTGCACTGAGCTAGTTTAGGTCCTATCTAGCAGACAGAACCATGTCTGTCAACATAGCTGGGTCTGAATCCTCCACTGCTCCTCTGTGTTTTGGGGTTCCACAGGGCTCTATTTTTAGGTCCCCTGCTTTTCTCCCTTTACCTGCTTCCATTGGGATCAATCCTTAGAAAGCATGGGATCTTTTTTCTTTTTTATGCTGACGATAGTCAGATCTATATGCCACTAAAAAAGAAATATGCCCCCTCAATTAGGCCACTTCTGTTGTGTCTTGAAGACATCAAAGCCTGGATATATTTAAACTTCTTAAATTTCAATGAAAAGAAAACAGAAGTGATGGTGTTTGGTCCTAGTGGCTCTTGTGAACCTTGCCCTGTTGATCTGGGCCCTCTGGCACTACATGTAAAAAAAAATGTTTCTAACTTGGGTTTTAAAATGGACAGTGATTTTAAATTAAGATTCCCAGATTGGAGTGGTGGTCAAGACCAGTTTTTATCACCTCAGACAGCTGGCTAAGGTAAAGTCCATTCTCACAAAACAGCAGCTGGAAACAGTAATCCATGCCTTTGTCACCTCTCGGCTGGATTACTGCAACGCTCTTTACCTTGGAGTCAGCCAGTCCTCCCTCAGATGCCTCCAGTTGGTCCAGAACGCTGCTGCTCAGCTTCCAACTGGAATTCAAAAGAGGGAGCACATCACCCCGACTCTGGCTTCACTCCACTGGCTGCCTGTTCATTTTAGAGTTCATTTTAAAATTATTTTATTTCTTTTTAAAAGTTTAAGTGGTCTTGCTCCATCCTACCTCTCTGAGCTGCTTCACCCATACTCTCCTGCTCGGTGCCTCAGATCAGCTGATCAGCTGCTCCTGGAGGTGCCGAGGTCCAAACGGAGGCTCAGACGGGACAGAGCTTTTTCTGTTGCTGCTCCAAGACTGTGGAACAATCTCCCTCTTCCCATCAGACAAGCTCCTTCACTGTCCAGTTTTAAAACTCTTAAAAACACATTTTTACTCCCTGGCTTTTAGCACAGACTGAATTTTGCTCTGCACTGTTTTTATTATTTTTTATTGATCTTAATGTTTTAACAACTGTTTTTATGTGTTTAAGTGTTCTTGATTTTATATGTACAGCACTTTGTGGCAGCTGTGGTTGTTTTAAAGGGCTTTATAAATAAAGTGTTATTGTTATTATTTATCGAGATAGAGTGAGTTACTACTTCTGAGGGAGTCCGAGCCAGGAGCCTCCTGAGCTGGAGGGTGGCCGAAGGTCTGAGATAAGAGAACCAATTCCTGACGTTGAATGTTCGCGGTGAGACGTATTGTGTCACTTAATGTTTTCTCTGCTATAGTTCGAGTAATTTGTTTGCTCAAGTCGTCTTTTGTTTTCTGGATTTATCTCACTTTTGCAGTTTTTCATTCTAGTGCACAAAACACTGTCAACACAGTTGTTTTTCTACTGTTGGATAGTTCTTGAACCACCTTTCATCTTTCAACAGTTTTCAGTTTTATTGGTGTTTTGGGATCTGCTAGCTCATGCCAGAGTTAGCTTAGCATGGCTGCTCCTTCTCTCCCTGCTTCCCCTGTTTTCTCTTGCTCCGTGTGTCAGATGTTTAGCTACTCCTCTGCCTCCTTTAGTGGTAATGATACATGTAACAAATGTAGTCTTATGGTAGCTTTGGAGGAGAGGCAGTCTGAACTGGAAGCTCAGCTCTGCACTGTAGAAAAACCAGTAGCTAGCCAGGTCCCCTTAGACAGTGCAGAACCACAGAGACTAGCTCCCGTTAGCAGTCCTCCAGCAGACCCTGAGCAGCCGGGACCCTAGGCCGGCTGGGTGACGGTCCGGAGCAAGCATACTGCTAAGGCTAAGCCCCCAGTTCACCACCGACCCGTTCATGTTTCTAATCGATTTTCCTCGCTCAGTGACACACCTGCTGAGTAGCAGACCCTGGTTATTGGCAGCTCCATAGTCCGAAACGTGGCTTTAGGGATTCCAGCGGTCATAGTCAAATGCATTCCGGGGGCCAGAGCGGGCGACATAGAACCTCATCTGAAACTGCTGACTAAGGTTAAATACGGTAAGATTGTTATTCACATTGGCGGTAATGACACCCGGTTACGCCAATCGGAGATCACTAAAATTAATGTTGCTTCGGTGTGTGACTTTGCTATAAGCATCAGCGTCAGAGAGTCAGAGATTCTTTATTGTCATTCACACCAATACATGTGGTGGAGCGAAATTATGTACACAGGGTCCCAGTTACATCCAACAATAAAATGTAAAGGAAAAACAATGATAACATCTAAGATATGAACTAAGAAAAACATCAACTAAAATACACTAAGCACCAATGGCATAAAAACATTACGTCGAACAGCACGAACATGAGCATGAGTCTGTGTGAGCAGATGAACACGCACGAACACATCAACATGAAACAGATCAGCAGCAACATGAATCGTTGGTTACGTACTGTAACCCCAGTTTCTATGAGTATAGGCGTAGCCCTTTAAGAGCTGTCGCTGGTGGGTTTTATCCCGTCATGTAATGCATTGTACTGAAAAGTTTCGTCCACGCCCACCTGTTGTGTGGGCCCCACCCAGTCCGTATAAATTACGTTAAGAGCGGGTAATCGGCTCCCAAATAGCTTTTTCTTCAGCCATTTAGGAGCCAGTGAGGCCCAATGATTAAAGGGCTACGCCTATACTCATAGAATCTGGGGTTACAGTACGTAACCAACGTTCTATTTCGTATAGGCTTCGCCCTTTAAGAGCTGTCGCTGGTGGGTTAAGGGCGAAGCAGATGTAGTCCTCGCCTCACTGGGTCCATTCGAACACCATATGAAGCGCCAGCTTGCCCAAAAAATGTCTTGTCACTCAGCTCTCCATGTGCGTAATTGCGTATTGCGTAATTACGTGTACCATGCACAGACGTGTGCTGCGTAGTTATGCATTCTGAGTGCATGAACGCCCCGCAAAAGTTTTCAACAGGGAAAAGGAAGAGGCTGAAAAAGGCTGTGAACCAAGCAGATCCACGGTTGATCAATATGAACAGATTAATAATAACAAGTGGACTGATTATTAATCAAATGAACTGATTGGTAACAATAGTCATGAATTGATTAGTGACAATAGAACAAGAACAACAGTCACAACTTGTGACTGATAACATCTCACACTATAAATGCATGCAGTCAGATGTGAGTTTAAACGAGATTCCATGAAACAACAATGTTCATTCTGTTAAAGCACTAAGGACAGAATGTGTCATGGAATGAGTCGACACATCACATAAATAAAAGCAAATAAATGAGCAGGGTGTTGACCACGCGGCCGTAGTGCAAATATCCTGCATTGTCATACCATTATGCAAAGCAGTTGAAGATGCGATACCTCTGGTCGAGTGTGCCCTGAGGTTGTCAGGAGGCTCTAAATCTGATGCTCTGTAGGCTTCAGAAATGGCCTCACACAGCCAGTGTGACAGGCACTGGGTGGATAACGGGCGACCTGCAGATGAGTCTCTATAATGCACAAACAAATGTTGAGTCTGACGCATTGCTGCCGTGCATGTTATGTAGCACGTCAACACATGCACAGGTCAGAGAAGATGGAAAGATGCTTCTTCTGATTTGTGGGGGGGAGGGAAAAAACCCTCCAACGATATCGCTCTTGATTTAAAAGAGCTTGTGATGTTTTAAGGCATAAACGCTGGGTTAGGTCTCAGATCAGCTGAGCTGCCGTCAGCCTGAATTCTGAGACATGACGGAGCGACAGAGAGGGCAGATAAATCACTCACCCTCTTAGCGGATGTTAAAGCCAACAGCAGGGCTGTTTTAACAGACAAGAATTTAATCAGAACCTGATCTAGTGGCTCAAATGGAGCTTTGATCAGGGCTCGCAGGACCAGCGTTAAATCCCACTGTGGAGCAGGTGGGCATGAAACAGGCCTGCTTCTCTGTACACCTTTTGAAAAACGCTTCATCAGCGGATGATTAAAAGCTGTTCTGTCCCCAAAACCTTCGTGACAAGAAGAGATGGCTGCAGCGTACGTTTTAAATCGTGCTGAATGCCAGATTTCTGTCCATCAGCTGCTGCAGAAAGG